GAGATTGCCAGCACACCACCAAAAGAGGAGGCAAAGTAGGGTTCCCCATAGGTTTCAGAGGGAGCATGGCCCTGCTGACATCTTGATTTTTGACTTCTAGCCTCCAAAACTGGGACCCAATAGATTTTTATTACGTTAAGCCACCCAGTTTCTGGTACTTTGTGCTGGCAGCTCTGGCAGAATAATACACTAGCTTTATAGATTTATTTTTAATACTTAGGTCTCTAATCCATTTATTTGACCTTTGCATTATGGTGAGAGGTGGGGGGGACCCACTTTTCTTATAAGGAGCAAGTTTTCCCAGTATCCATTTACGATCCATCTCTTCCCTTCTGATTGGGATCCTTAATCGGAAACGTTGCAAGTTCTTTAAGGTACACTATTTCTGGCCTCTCTGTTCTGTTCCTTTGATCAGTTTATCTGTTCACATGCCATGCCACCTTTGTTTTCTTTTGTAAACTCTGGCTTGTTAGTATATCTCATCTGATTCAGAAAATCCTCACCTATCCCCCCACTTTGGCCGTTGTTATCTACTTGTGGGTCTTGATTCTTCCACATGCATTTCTGTATCTGTTTATTGTTTCTCAGAAAAAAGAATGTTTCTGGAATTTGGGCTTGCTTGAACTTATAGATTGATTTAGGAAGAAGAGCCATCTTAATTATATTAATTGTTACATTCACTAATATAGCTCACCTCTTTCTTTGTTTGATTTCTTTTGTGTCCTTTTGATAACATTAAATTTTTTTCTTCATAAATGTCTTGTGGATGGATGGGTGGTTAACTAGATTCCTTTCTAACTCTTTCTGGCACTCTCCAATGACTGAGCCAGCCAGGTACCTGCATAACTTTTAAACTTTTGTTACAATTCTGAGTGGAATCTTATTATTTGGTTGCTGTTGTTGTTAGAGATTTTAGTTGTTTGCTATTATGTAGAGGAATGCTATTCATTTTCCAAATTTGATCTTTTCTTTGGTCACTTTGCTGAATCTCTTACTAGTTTTAAAAGTTTGGAGTTTCTAAAAAAAAAAATTTGGAGTTTCTTTTTTTAAAAAAAGATTTTATTTATTTATTTGAGAGAGAGAGAGAGAGAGAGAGAGAGAGAGAGAGAGAGAGAGAACACAAGCAGGGGGAGTATGAGAGGGAGAAGCAGCCTCCTCCCTGAGCAGGGAACCTGACATGGGGCTCAATCCCAGGACCCCTGGGATCATGACTTGAGGCGAGGGCAGATGCCCAACCCACTGAACTCCCAGGTGCCCCAACAGTTTGGAGTTTCTATATGGAATACCAAATCACATCCCAATAATGACAATTTTGTTATCCCTCCTCCCTTTCCTTATATACATATTTATACACAGATTTATAATGACTACATCCACAATAGTATTTATAATGACATGTTCCAATGGCCAAGACCCCCAGGAGTGAACAATGGTGGTGATGGAGGCCAGCTGTGTCTGCTTACTGGTCTTAAATGGAATGAGCTTAAAGTTCTGTATTGTGAAGTTTGTGGTAGATTAGTCTTTATCAAATTATGTAAGTTCCTCTCTATCCTAGTTTTCTGGGAGCTTTTATCATCAATAGGTATTGAACTTTATAAGTTTTTTGTCCCATAATATAGTGCATTACATTGTTAACTTTCCAATGTTTACTAAAACCTACTCTATGGGTTTTATTTGAGCACATTATTTGTATTTGCTTATCTGGTATCTTCTTTAGGAATGGTACATGTATTTAGAAAGTTAAGTGGGACTCTTTTCCCAAAATGTCCTTATTCACTTGAGAAATCAAGGATGTACCAGCTGCATGAAATGAATTTCTTTTCCTTTTCCCTGTAATAATTTATATATGGTAGGTGTTATTTGTTCTTTGCAAGTTTGGTAGAACCCCTCTGGTAAACCTTCTGGAACTTCTTTTAATTTAAAATTCCAGTTCTTTCATGGTAATTGGTCTACTCAAAGATTCTACTGTGTCTTCTTGTAGTATTGGTGTTTTCTAATCTTACTGGAATCTGTCTATTTTGTCAACATTTTAAAATATATTGGTTTAGGGGCACCTGAGTAGCTCAGTTGGTTAAGTGTCAGACTCATGATTTTGGGATTGTGAGATGAGCCTTGCATCAGGTTCCATGCTGAGTGTAGAGTCTGCTTAAGATTCTCTCTCCAGGAGAATCCCTGGGTGGTGCAGTGGTTTAGCGCCTGCCTTTGGCCCAGGGCGCGATCCTGGAGACCCGGGATCGAATCCCACGTTGGGCTCCCGGTGCATGGAACCTGCTTCTCCCTCTGCATCTCTCTCTCTCTTTCTCCTCTGTGTGACTATCATAAATAATAATAATAATAAAAAGATTATCTCTCCAGGTAGCCCCCGTGGCTCAGTGGTTTAGCGCTGCCTTTGGCCCAGGGGGTGGGTGGGGTGATCCTGGAGACCCGGGATCAAGTCCCTGCATGGAGCCTGCTTCTCCCTCTGTCTGTGTCTCTGCCTCTCTCTATGTCTATCATGAATAAATAAATAACATCTTAAAAAAAAAAGATTCTCTCTCTCCCTCTCCCTCTGCTCCTCCCTTCCCTCTCTCTAAAAAAAAAAAAAGTATTGGTTTATAATGTTTGAACTTTTGTTTTACTATTCTAAAAATATATCTGCATTTCTTTCTCCTTTTTCTCTATGAATTATGTTCTGATTTGGCATCTTTCTTTATTCTCTCCATCAGCTTTGCCTGAAGCATTTTGAAGAGCCAACTTTTGTTTTTGTGTTAGTTTCCCCAGTTTTTATAAAGATTTTATTTATCTTATTTATTTATCTTTTGATCAGAAAAACAGAAATTGAACCAATAATGTGAACAATCTGCAAGCCAGGGAGAGAGACCTCAAAAGAAACCAAACCCACCAACACTTCCATCTTGGATGGGTAGCCTCCAGAACTGTGAGAAAGTTGATTTCTATTGTTGTTTGAGCCACTAGGTCTGTGGTACTTTGTTATGGCAGCCCTGGTAAACTAATACTGTCTCCAGTGCTATAATTTCAGACACTGTCTTAGCCCTAGAAGGAGGAACCAGGCCTTGACATGGAAGCCTTTTCAAAGCTATTCACATGGCACTCATAGCACAGCCTGGTTTGGCAGAGAGATTTAACAAGCTCAGACCTGGGACGTGTCTCACGGATGCATCACGGTGTTTCTTTCTTCAGAGTGTCATTCAAGTCCTTCTGCTCAGGAATGAATCTGAGGACAGGCAACATCTTGGTGAAGCTCTGGATTCTTCCAGCTGACTTGGCTGGGAGGACTTGTCGGATGCACTGGGAAGGAATGGGGGAGATGTGAGAACAGCAGGGGTGAGGATGAGGGAAGAGAGAAAGCAGCTCTCTCTCAGTCATGGAATCAGATTTCTTTCGATGGGCGTGAGTGAGAAAGGTACTTTATGAGGTCTAGAAACATAGAGGGAAATGCAGGAAGGGAACAGTGTATGGTGAGTTCAGGGCTAAGGGATCCAGAGGTGGCACAAGTGTCCCAGCCTTTTCTACCTCTCTTGATTAAGTCAGGAGGCTAATTTTCTCATAGCTAACTGCATCTATTAACCTTGAGTATCTCCTTCCCTTGGTCTCTATGTATGACAAATTCATTCTGTCTCTGAAAAAATATTTACTGAGCACAAGTGTTGTATTGCCACGTATGGCAGAGACAGCCCCTGCCTTCATGCGGCTTCAGTCTGGGTGGGCAGGAGGGGCACTGAGCAAGCACCATGGGGAGTGTTGAGTGCTTCAGAAGGGGTAATAGGGGGCACTACAGGAGCACTTGCACAGAAAGAATACTGGAACTGAAGGCCTCAGTGCAGAAGTTGAGACCTGAGAGATGAAAGGGGGTGGGTGGAGAGAGTTTTAGGCAAAGATGCCCGTGTTGTGAAAGCCCTAAAGCAATTAAAGTGTCAGTGCATGATACCAAAGAAGCCCAGTGTCTGGAGAGCAGAGTGACCAGGACAGTGGCAGGGCCTGAGGCAGTAGGCAGGGACCTGCCGGGAAGAGCTTTCTAGGAAAAGGTAAGGATTTTACAGTCTCCTCAAAGGCCAATAGGAAACTATGGTAGGATTTAAGCAGTGTGACTGGATCTACCCTATTTGTTGGGTTGATGATGACTTAATTGTAGAACAAGAGCTGCTGTGGTCATCGTTCAGGCAAGAAATGATGGTGGCTTGGAGGAGGGTAGCTCCTGTGGGGAGTTAAAGAAGTGACAGGGGGCAGCTCTGGTGGCTCAGGGGTTTAGCGCTGCCTTCAGCCCAGGGCGTGATCCTGGAGACCCAGGATTGAATGCCATGTCAGGCTCCCTGCTTGGAGCTTGCTTCTCCCTCTGCCTGTGTCTCTGCTTCTCTCTCTCTCTCTCTCTCTGTCTCTCATGAATAAAATAAATAAAAATCTTTAAAAAAAAAAAGAAGTGACAGAGAATCACTGGAACATTCTAAAGGATCTTATGGGGGTGAAGGAGAGGGAAGAGCTAATTGTGACTCAGATTTCTCAAGAGACTGAAGAGCTAGAAGAAAGAGGGTCTAGACATCACTCTAGGAGGTCTGTCAACAGGAAGCAGGATAAAAAAAAAATAGGAGTATGGGGACACCGGCCTTCAGCTCAGGTCATGATCGCAGGGTCCTGGGATCAAGGCCCGAGTTGGGCTCTGTGCTCAGTGGTGGGTCTACTTGTCCCTCTCCCTCTGCTCCTCCCCCCTGCTTGTGCACAAGTGCTTGCTCCCTCTCTCAAATAAATAAATAAAATCTTTTTTAAAAATAGGAGTATGGAGAAGGAATAATAACATTTGGAAACAGCATTAGGATGCCAATATGATAGCACATTGTATTATTGTTCACAATATTTCTTGTCTCTCCTGAAGGATACCCAGTTGATATCAGGCTTGGCCATATGACTCACTTTAGCCAACGCGAACGCCTGTGACATGAATCTTTTCTGAGGGGAAGCTTTAAGAGCCAGCTCATGACTGTCCACCTGTATTTTCTCTCTGCCAGGGGGTTGGCAATGTTTCAGAGGCTGCCTGTGAATGAAGAAACTGGGTCCATGGACAAAGATGTGGAAAACAGCGCTGCCAACCTGTGTTGGACAAGGAGACACAAGTGAGTCTCTACCTTTGTGTGAACTACTGGGATTTGGACTCATTTGTTTCTGTGGCACATGCTGACCACCCTTTTCCTCCTCTAGACCTTGAGCTGTCTGGTGAGTTGGGGGCAGTAAAGAGCCTTCGGTTAGGATCGTGGGGATATCTTCAGGGAAGAAAGTAGTTTTTGTTAGGTCAAAGTTGGAGGGAATATTCAGGGAGTGGTTTGCAGGGGTCTCTGTGGAAGAGTTTGGGAAGGATGGAGGGAGGCAGGAGATGGGCAGAGCAAAAGACAACACAGAGAACAATGGAGATGAGAGAGAGAACCTGCGATGATGAGAGGAGCCTCTATTAGGGGGATTCCCAAGGAAAGCAAAGATGGGAACCATGATGGATTTGGTCATGATACCCCTGGGAGAGCAATGGACTCGGGCTCAGAAGCACATATTGCTCTGAAAGCAGCCCCACAGTTCCTCCCCCAGATGAGACTCATCTGGCTTGAGTTGTTCATCACTCTACCCTGAATACCAACTATCTGTGGGATGAATGAATTAATGAAACTTATGGATCCATGCTATTGGTCAAATCTCTCCCATTAGCAAGGGGTGCCTCTCGGTAGTCTGTAAACCAAGAATGACTCTTTGCTTGTACTTAGTGACCATGGGCAAGTTACCCAACCTCTCTGATCTTGGTTTCCTTAGCTCTAAAATGGGATAATAATGGTTATCTGACTCATGGGGCTGTTCTCAGAACTAAATGAGATGCTGGACAGCCATCCAGATTTTTGGCAATTGTTTTGTCCTAATTTTAGTAAAGATGTCTATGCTGGAGGCCAGTGCAGACAAATACGTCACTCTTCTCCACTAGAATGCCACCCATTTTCCCCCCAATATTTTTGCCCTCATTCTTAGCAGAGAGGGAAAGGGACTTGTCCAAAGACACTCTAGGCAGATTGAAGAACCAATTAAGGGCTTTCCCTATTATACTTGAGCAAATCACCACAACTTTAGAGTCTTACAACAACACAAATTTATTATCTTATAGTTCGAAGGTCAGAAATCTGAAATGCATCTCACTGGCCTAAAACCAAGGTGTTGCAGGGCTGGCTGCATTCCCTCTGGAAGCTTGGGAGAATCCATTTCCTTGCCTTTTTTAGCTTTTAGAGGCCACCTGTATTCCTTGGCTCATGGTCCATTTCTCCACCTTCAGAGCTAGCAATGGCATCACTCTGACCTCGGCTTCTCCCTCCACATCTCCTTCTGACCCTCCTGCTTCCCTCTTTCACTTAGGACCCTGGTGGTTACATTGGGTCCACCTTGGATAATCCAGGATAATCTCCTCAACTCAAAATCCTTAACTTTGTCACTGCAAGGTTCCTTTTGCCATGTAAGATAATACACTGACAGATTTCAGGGATTAGGACATGTGCATTTTTTTTTGGGGGGGGCATAATTTTACCTACCACAGAAGGCAAGTTCGAAATTGGCTCTCAGGCCTCAGAGACTCTATGTTCCTCCCAGTCTCTGTGCACTGTGCTGATCTGATCATTTTCCCCCTTCTTTTCCCATTTGTTTCTGGCCTTACAGTTCATTTTTTAAAAAATTATTTATTTATTTATTTATTTATTTATTTATTTATTTGAGAGAGAGAGAAAGTGCAAGTAGGGGGAAAAGCAGAGACAGAATCTCAAGCAGACTCCTTGCTAAGCATGGACTTGGGACTTGATTCCACAACACATGAGGTCATGATCTGAGCCAAAACCAACAGCCAGATGCTCAACCCCCTGAGCAACCCCGGTGCCCCTACAGCTCATGTTAAAACAGGTATCATCAGCCAGAAGCATTTGCTGCATATCCCCCGATCCTTTTTTTTTTTTTTTTTAATTTTTATTTATTTATGATAGTCACACACACACACAGAGAGAGAGAGAGAGAGGCAGAGACACAGGCAGAGGGAGAAGCAGGCTCCATGCACCGGGAGCCCGACGTGGGATTCGATCCCGGGTCTCCAGGATCGCGCCCTGGGCCAAGGGCAGGCGCCAAACCGCTGCGCCACCCAGGGATCCCTTTTTTTTTTTTTTTTTAATTTTTTTTTTTTTTAAGATTTTATTTATTTATTCATGAGAGACACACAGAGAAAGGCAGAGATGTAGGCAGAGGTAGAAGCAGGCTCAATGTAGGGAGCCGGATGCAGGACTTGATCCCCGGACCCTGGGATCATGACCCCAGCCGAAGGCAGATGCTCAACCCCTGAGTCACCTAGATGTCCCTCAAATCCCCCAAACCTTATGAATGGTGGCCCAAGATAAGGCTTTGATTCCATCCACTGGAATGAGCTCAATCAGACAGGGTCTCCAGGTAGAGCCTGCAGTCTAGGAGAGCACAGTCCAGGAGAAATTGAATGTGAGCCACAAATGTGAGTCACATGTATAATTTTGAAATTTCTAGGAGTCTCATAAAAAAATAAAAAGAAATAAATGGAATTAATTTTAATGATATACTTTTTATTGAATCAAGTATAACAAAAATACCATTTCAGATGCGTCCAATATAAAAATTATTAATGATATAGTTTATATAAAGCTGGTTATTTTATGCTTTAGCACACTTCAGTTCAGACTGGACACATTGCCAGTACTTAATCGCCAACTGTGCCGGTGACTACCATGTTGGATGGTACAGGCCTAGAAGAAAAGCTCTACAGGGGCCCCATGGCCTAGAATAATCCCTGACAAAATAGGCCTTCAGATTTGTTGAATGCAGGAATTGAAGGCTTGGTTCTTTTCTGTAGCCCTGGATGGCTGACCCACAGAAGGCCGCCTAAAGAGGCTGGGTCGCTTGTGTCTAATTTGCATAATACCTCCCAGGCATTTACTCTTCAGGCAGTTTCTCTCTGCTAGTTCCCATCAGATCTACTCTTAACCTGGACAAGCTTGAAAAATGCACCGTTGAACTATGCTTAGTGCTTAGTCCTACCTGGAAGGTAAAGGACAGAAAGGGGACTCTCCATGGAGTCAATTCCCTGGGGACCTTTGGGCATAGGTGGGTGAAGAAGAATGACCCCAAACATGTCTCCCAAGGCTCTCGTGATCTGGTTCTGGTCCCTGTTCACCTCCTACCTTATCACCTGGTGATGGAATGAGCTGTGTCCACCGCCGACCCCCAGACCTGTGTGTTGATGTCCAATCCCCAGTGTGACCAAATGTGACCCAAGGTGACCCCTTTTAGGGGGGTAATTAAGGTAAATGAAGCCATAGGGTAGAGTCCAAATCCCATGGGACTGGGGTCCTTGTACAAAGAGGAAAAGACACCAAGGATGTGCACACAACCAGAAAAGGCCACGTAAGGACACAGTGAAGTCATCTGGGAGCCAAGGAGAGAGGCTTCAGGAGAAACCAACCCTGCTGACACCTTGATCTTAGACCTCCAGCCTCCAGAACCTGTGGGACAATAAATATCTGTTGTCTAAGCTCCCCAGTCTGTTGCGGCAACAGAAACCGGAAACTAATACAAGCTGTGCTCTTACCTGTCCTCAGCGCTGCCCTTGAACTACACACCTGTCCTTGAGCAAGTTAAACACTGAGTTGGCACTTAACTCAGCAATTTCATTTTGAAGTAAATGCTCAAGAGAATTGAACAGACTTTCACAAGGAAACATGGAAACCTGTGCGTAAACATTCACAGCAGCATTATCTGTAGTGGTCAGAAAGTGGAAACACGAGCACCTGGGTGACTCGGTTGGTTAAGTGTCCAACTCTTGATTTCAACTCAGGTCATGATCTCAGGATTGTGAGATTGAGCATCACATTGGGGAGTGGGAGGCTGGGTGTGGAGCCTGCTTGAGATAATCTCTCTTCTCCCTCTCTGTGCACAATCCACCCCTCTAAAAAAAAAAAAAATTGGAAGCAACCCAAATGCTCATCAACTGATGAATGGATAAACAAAATGTAGCATAAAATGAAATATAATTCAGCCATAAAAAGGAGTGAAGTTCTGAGACATGCTATGATGTGGCTGAACCTTGACAACATTATGCTGGCTGAACAAAATTAGATGTAAGAGGACAAATATTGTTATTATTCTATTTACATGAGTTGTCCAGAATAGAAACAAATATCCACAGAGACAGAAAGTGAGGGATTCGTGGTTGCCAGGGGCTGAGGGGAGAAGGGGACAAGGAGTGATTGCTAATTGGGATGGGATTTCTTTTTAGTGTGATGAAAATATTGTGGTCATGGGTGGTCATTCACAGTGTGCTGAAAACCACTGACTTATACCTTGAAAATGTTGAATTTGATGGCATGTGAGTGACATCTCAAGTTTTTTGAACCATATGCCTGCCATATTGGGTTTCCATCAATTCCTTGAATCTGCTGAATCACATCACCTCTGAACCTGCATGTGCAGTTCATTCTACTCACAAAAAAAGGCTTCATCACCACCTCCTTTTTTCCCCTAATGGTAAAATGCAGGCTATATGGTGTCCAGGAAGAGTGAGCTTTGCAGGTGAGAGTTGTTGTATTGTCTGTATTGACTTTAAGATACTCCTATACATTCTGAGGAGCAGAGCTGGGGTTGAGGATGGGTAGGGTGGGGAGTGGGATGGGGTAGAGAATTATTTTCATTATAAACTTTATGCAAGTATATTTTTATTTTATTCATTTTTATTTTTTAAAGGTTTTATTTTTAAGTAATCTCCACACCCAATGTGGGGCTCAAACGTACATCAAGATCCAGAGTAACATGCTCTTCTGACTGAGCCAGCCAGGCACCTGTATATTTTTACTTTATTTAGCTAGCTAATTAATTAATTAATTAATTAATTTTATTTTATTTATTTTATTTTATTTATGATTTTATTTATTTGACAGAGAGAGCATGAGCAGGGGGAGGGGCAGAGGGAGAAGGAGAAGCAGGCTCCCCACTGAGCAGGGAGCCTGATGCGGACTTGATCCCAGGACCCCGAGATCATGACTTGAGCCAAAGGCAGATGCTTAACCGACTGAGCCACCCAGGCACC